AAAAACGCACTGTTAAAAGTAGAAGAAACTTGAAATTTATTGAAAATAATGTCTCCAAATAAAAACAGATTTTATAATAATTATTTATTTTATTTACATGCTTTATTTTAAAATGTTATATTTAATATAAACGTTAAAAATTATAAAGATTATAATTATTTTAAAGATTTGTGTGTATAATAAAATGATTAATGTTAAATTAATTTCTATTCTTATTCAAAAATATTTAATAAATAATATATAGTTTTGATTTTGAGTTGATCAGTTAAATTATTTCTTGATTCATATTATTTCGGCTTGGTTCATTTTACCCCATGGGATGGTCCATTTTACCCCACTCATGGGGTAAAACGGACCAAAATTAAGTTTTTAAAAATCTTAATAATAATTCAAACTTTTGCAAATTTTGAAAATTTAACATTATAATCTTATAATAAACATTCTACAGTTTCTTCATGCTAAATTTCAGTTATTTTTTGTCATTAATATAAAAAATATAGCCATTTTCGCTTAGGGGGTCCGTCTTACCCCACCTTCCCCTATATATTATATTATGCACGCAAATAATTTATTCGAGATTCTTTTTCTATTCATTTGATTTATTTTAACAATTATAACACTATATTATTATATATATTTTAGAGACTTTTCTTATTTTTCTCAAATTTTTTTTTATATAAACATTACGAAACGAAAGATTAGCATTCTAGAATTAAGATAACAAATGGTAATATAAACGTCACACTTATTTTAAGGGTAGTTAGCAGATAGTACACTTTGAAAGCGATTCATTTTACAATTATGCGCACTTGCAAGCTAAATAAATTAGCAAAGCGGATGATCAATTCAGTATATTCTATTTTTATTTGCTCTTTCCACCGCTTGCTCTTTTAAATGTCTAAAACAAGTCGGTAAGATGCGCTACATAATTAATTGATCGCTACTCAGGCGACCTTGTTGATGACTTGTAAATTTCATCCACTTTATGTCCCTGGAAAAAAAGAGAAAAAACTCTATGTAATTTAATACGCATGTATATCTTGCGAGCGGATCGCACCGAAATGTCTTCCCGAGTAATAACAAAGGATTAAACTTGATGAGGGATAAAACAGTAAGAATAAAAAAATAAGAAAAATTCAATATACGCTTGAATCGATAAGTTTTGTGTCAAAAAAGTGAAAAGCAATAAATAAAGTTTTCAATTCTAACATGTGGTAGTTGAAAGAACTGACATTTAAAAGTAAATTAGATACAATTTCCTCAAAATACAATTATTCAAAAACAATGCCATAACACATATAACTTAAAAATGTTAATTGAAATTTTAAAATATGCAATTAAATCTGTTTTTTCATAAAAACTTATGTAACATATTGCTGGTGAAAAATCTTCAAATTATTCAGAGAAATTGTCATTAAAAAGGTTTCCGCAAATTTGTGGATTTGTGAATATATATTTCAATATCAAGAATAAAACGACTGTGATAAATGTGGTCTGCGAATAAATTAATGCATTTTTGCCGAGATAAAATTGATTCGACTTCAATTTAATAAACAATACCAATCCATTTAGATAAATTTCAATATCAATTAATATTGATGCATTGTACTTATACTTGCATCAAAGAAGTTAATGCGCGACAATTTCGGATTTTCCAATAGATGACGTTATAATTTTTTACGCACATGTTTAAAAAATCGTGATACGGGCAAAACTTGATTATAACTTTGTCAAATAAATTTTTAATTTAATTAAACTGCGCTTTATCTGACAAAAAAGAGAAAACAGATTTATTTGAAAAATGTTCGAAATTACTTATTACTCAAGCTAATATTTCATCGCTGGAACGCGAAAATACTAACGTAACACTCATCGCTGGGTGAATACGTTGCGGCGACTATCACTATCGGCCGATTCGGTCTCTTATCGATTCTCTACCTTAACCCATAACGCTCTATCGCGCATCCCTTGTACCGATCTCGCATTCGAAAGAGATAATCCCATTTCCTCTCGATTCGCACTGAACTCTCTCGCAGGGTTAAACGATCCGCATTTGCCTTGTAACCGTAGCTTGTTATCTCGTATCCCTCTGTTACGCTTTCCACATAACGTCATGCGAGTTCGTAATAAACGTGAAACAATGGACGAGTACGGTTACGCTGCCCGTATCTATGTTCTTTTACACGGTACAGGTGCGTTAGGTCGTATGATACTACATAGAAGGACAGAATGGATAAATGAGTTTGGTGAATGCGCGTTTCGTCTGCACGCATGTGTCGCGCGATGGTGCATTCCGGCTTTTCAGCCACGAATTCTGTCACAAATCCGCGGTTATCTTTTTACGGGACGTGTGACGGGACCATTATTCCTGATTGGTCTCCTGGTCTTTGTTCCAAATCAGGATTAAAAATGTCGAAGTATTGCTAAATAATCTTTGCAATGCACGTCTATTTTGTTACGATTGTAATTAAAATTCTGTTATATATCTGCCTACTATGTTTATTAAAAATACATTTTTATACAAAATACATTTTTGAGAATGATAATAAAACAATAAATAAGATTTTACTATTTAGGTACATTTATAAAATTTTATAAAGTTTAATTAAAAAAAAATTTTTTATATTTGATTAATTATAAAAATAAATTAGTAATAAACAAAAAATTTTGAATTAAATTGATTACTAAATTGAATTTATTACTTACTTTGTGTTACATTAATCTACATTAAAATCAGTGTTCGGAAATTTCAAGTGATCTATCAGTTCGAACAGTTCAAATTTCAAGTTCGGACGTCAAATAGCGCGGACGCTTTGAGCTGAACGTATGTTCGAACAAATCGAATTGTCCAAATCAAGATAAATAAGCTTT